TTAGAAAATTGCATTGTTAGATAAATTAAAACAAAAAGTTACGAAGTTTACATTTCACTGCTGATCATATAGGAGTTCAATTTTATCTTCCAATATGTGATTTCGTCAAATATGAATAAATTTTAGTTAATAGCTAAACATTTATAAATTTTCAGTGTATTTGAATATGACACTGACTATTAAGTTCTGACCAGTAACAAAATGAAAAGTTTAACATATGATCCATTGTAAAGGGTGCGAACATACTTGAGCGTGTTTACTCTGTGGGAATTGAATTAGTTACTGGTCTTTACAATCTCTCATATGGAAAATGATTCAAATGTTTGAACCAAAGAAACTCAGATTAGGATTTTCATGACCTCATTGAGTACTTAGTGATCAATATTGAAAGCATTCTACTGTAACAATTTATACCAGCCTTATAAGTGAACGCTCTTAAGAAAAAGATGAATCATCATGGAAAAACTTATCACAAGGATTAATATAGCTCAAGCGACCTGCCCGATTCTTATTACTGAAAACTTTGAATCGATTTCAGTAGTAGAAGAATTCAGATATGTAGTAAAAACCTTAATGTATATTACCGTACGATTTTCTTCGGTTTAATATTTCTTATTCTGAGATACCACACACATTCAACTATTGACGTATTAAAAGAAATTAAGCACACACTATACATAGTTACACCGAATATGTATGAAGATATATGGTATAGAGATTTCAGTAATGTTTATTCATGACGTAGTTATTTTGAAAAAAAATAAATCCAGTTTCTACACTGTATTCCGTGTACTGTCTATATTTAATACTGGGAAACAAGAAATGTTTATTATTTTGCAAAAATAGTTGTGCGAATTCAGTCTAAATTAATCGATACATCTATCGAGCTTATACAGTCATAGGTGAATTTTTTAATGATTCATTTACCTGGGTATAGAATTGATTTATGTATTTGGTTAAATGTTAAGGATAGTGATTCTATGTTTGGCTAAACCAAAATAGATGGAAAAGCTTTTATCCTACCTCTTTGTGACTGAAAGTTGAACGCTGTAACCACGGAGACATATTTAATGATAGATTGTTTATATCGGAAACTAATATTAACTGGAGGAACCAGTAAAGAACAAAGAATACTAGAAGAGTGCATCGTTAAATCTGGAACAATTTATTCTTACGATAATGCATTAAAATTGAGTGATATAAATTTTCAACGATGGTTGATTGATGATAACGCTTAATATTTTGCCAGTCACATTTGTGGTTACCCGCTTCACTTCAAGCATAACAGAAGTTCACTATTTATAACTTCATTTGTGAAATTTTAATTTAAGTTTTGAAGCGGCTCAATTTATGTCAAAAACCATAAACCAATAATATTAATCTTGTCCTCACTAGAGATTTAAGTCAATTTTCAATAAAACATTGAACTTGATATAATTAGGTCTTTAATCTAAACCTGGTTCCTAATAATGATAAACCAAGTTCATAAGTCAACAGAGTAAATATTACCATAATTATCAGTCAATTAGTCATAAGCAACGTAGAATATGACGTATATGTGCATCAATTCAAGTTGCCACACAATATTAGCAAAAAGTTATGAAAATTTCCAAGACAATTCGCCAGATTATTATAAGTCGTCACAATATTAATGATAGTAGAAAAGATTAGATATAAAATATATAATTCGAGAAGTCAGACTAAATTTGAGAAACAAATGCTACAATATAATTTTCCAACTCAAGGTTTAAGGGGCTAAAAAGAACGAATACAACTGACATAACGTCTCCAACTATTGGTTACTAAAATCATTCGGATACAGACCAAGTGGGCAGTATCTGCTAATATGGTTCAGTTCAACAGTCAGCGACTTCAAATATTGATGACATACTTTAATTTGGTCGTATCTGGCTTTCTTAGGTCTACTCCTACGCTTCCAAGTATCACTACTCGAGGTTAGTTGTGGTTTGGAAATGTATTTTTATGAATATCAAATTCATGGAAACTTGATGTCATAATAAAGATGAGAACCTCTTCTATATCATCTTGATTTCTAGAACAATTTTCATATAAGTACTTATAAGAATGGATAATATTATTGTTGAAAAATAAGAAAAACAATAAATAAATTGTATTTCTTCTTTAAAATGCTTCTTCAATCATTAAATAGTTCATAAGCACAAAATAACAACTTAACATATCCTACTTATAATTTGAAAGTAAGATATAACAAAATGCAGTTTTATTTATCAAATAAACAAACAAAAATATGAATGATACCCACATAGAAACTAATTTAAGATAACAATATTTAGTAATAACAAGTTAAAAGTATCTTTATTTAGTTGATTAGTTGAATAGAGTTAAATATTCCATATGTTACCAAGTCATTAAAATACAATTTCAAATTACATTCGAACTAGTAACCAAACTCTCTCTCTCTTTTACTTTCGAATCTAAATGGAGTTAAGTTGTTCAAGAACATGTGATTCAATAAAACACTAGTGTAAAAACCATTTAAACCATTTAATCATATGAATAAATTTGTAATAATAAATAAAATGAATAGATTTGTGGTTAGTAGTGAAATCCAGGACTCATCAGGTAGATATACCTGAATCTTAGTATTGATTCTCACACCGAGACTCAAAGTCAGTAGATTGTGCTTTGAACTTTCAATGCAATATTCATCAAACTACTGAATACAAATAGTCACTAACTTGTATAACAGGTATGATATTGATATCGTTATTATTAGGGATTTAAATTATCCCGCTGTTAATAAACTTTTTAAACTTTCAATCATTCTCTTTTCTTCTTTTAGGGATTTAAGTTTAGGAGGTTTCTTGGGGGAGTGGGAAGTGGTTAAAAGTCGAAATCAAACATTCAAGTACCTGATACATTAAATTTCAGTTTATTTATGCATATTCATTTTGCCTTTACAATTAATTCGAATTCCATGTGAGGGATTGTGGCTGCACACTGCTGAGGAGTCCCGTACTAGTGCTTCCAGGTCTTCAATAGCGGTCTAACATTGTTCAATTCATGATATAAATCTAAACTTAAAAAACTTCACAACCCTATACTGATAAAATATCTATTTGTCCAGTGAAGTTATCCCTCTAGACATTTGTAAAGCTGTCAATGGATCTCTAGTATTGATATCAATTAGTGGTAAAAGTCCTTTTCAAACTTTGAAAATCACTTCTCAAATAATTACAATAGTGATAAGAAGGACATTAGTGATCAATGATTTTTCTAAGGCTCTGATGGGAAGAATTCACGATTGCAGTCAACTAAGTGAGACAATCGCTCACATATGAGATTGTCGAAGATTGTTCTTTATATTAAATTGACTAAACTGTGAAAAAAATAGACAGTTATGGTTTCGTCTCAAAGTATCATGACCTTCAATAAAAACCTGAAAGGTTTAGTCTTGATTTTATTCAATTGAAATCATGAGTACTTGGTGGTAAAAATTACTCAAAACTACAAAGAAATACTTGTCCAGTAACCTCTTATTTTCAATAATTGTCTAGTTGATATCGTTAGTTCATGATAAAAACCATCTATAAACAGCTTATCTACATAATCTTATCATGACTAATTAACTGCCTTATAAGGCAATAATTATATCAAAAGTTATATCCTATTCTGAAAAAATATAATTTAAACAAATGACCATGACTGTGAATCATGTGGATGATCAAAAAATCTTATGACTAAGTAACGTTGTGGACATTTATAGTTATTCAGCTCGAAACCAATTGTTACCGACATTAGACAACTGGGTATAATCACTAACCAACACATACGAAACCAGGCACATCAAATAAATGAGTTAAATAAAATTTATTTATCTATTTGTTCCCAATTTATAAAAGATGTAGATTTGTGAGTTTTTAATTTCCTCAAACATTTACCCATAGAACCATTGTGAATTGGATATTGTAATATTTCTAAAAGATGGATAATTTTTAATTATACCTTATTATTTAGTAATAACCTATTATCTATCATAAACCTTGTCCGCTAAATAATTTTGTAGACAACAATAATATATCAGAAGGGTTTTTGTGGATTTAATAGTAATTTCAATAGTTGAGATCATGAGTCAATTGAAGCTAGAACACTATGGAAAACCTGGAAGTAATAGACCGCCGTTTCGTCCTATCGTGGGTTTCCTCGGCAGTGTGCATCTACGAGCCCGCCTCGCGAGCTTTGAACTCAGGACCTTTTAGTCTCACGCGCGAGCACTTAACCATTAGTCCACTGAGTCGGCATCCAACGGTGTTAATATCTAACTTTAACCAATCCAAGCAATAATAATATACCCTTACTACTTATCATCTATAATTTCACGATTCCATAACGTAGTGTATGAAAACTTAGATGAAATAAACCAATTTATTGTTTTATGCTAAATCAAACAGTAGCTTTGTAAAATATCAAAATCATATATTCAATATATCATCTGCATATTTTCTGTCAGTTGTCCTCTACACACTTCATTATTCTTCCAACATTGTTGTTGTTCTGACTGCTCTCGATTTTCCTTCCTTTTCTCTTTATTTTATTCTTCTACTAGTAACCATTCTACTTCCGATTCCTGTTACATACTACTTATATTTGTCTGTATGAGTAGCATACACCACAATAAGTACATATTTATATAAGTAACTTATTTTAAAATACACCTATATTGTTTAACCATTTCAAACAATAAACTAAACTATTTACATTATTTTACAGTGAATCATAACCAAATTCATTTATTTAATTCAAATAACCAATTACAATCAGTTTGATGCTCATTTATTCCAGTATCCTAATTCATAAATGATAACTTATGGATGATATTTCAAAGTAATTATCCCCATAGTTACTGAATAAGAAATATAAATTAATAGTGGTATTATAACAAGACATATATCTTGACAATCAATTCATGTTACATCTAAAAACAAAACAAAAAAACTATACGGTCTACATAAACTTACTTCAGGTGTACCATATTTTCTTCGTACTGGTGGTGTATAATAAGATGAATATGGATTAGTTCCACTTACAGTATTACTATTACTATTATTATTACTGATATTACTACTATTAGTAGTATTTAATGAGGTTGATGTTGTTGATAAATTATTACCACTTGTAGAATTTCGATATCTTGAACTGCTACGTCTTAATCCACTTATTCCAGAATAATAATTTGTACTATTACTAGGTGAATTATATACTGAACTTGATGAATTTAGATGTGATGTTGCATTGGTTGAAGATGATGATGGTGATGAAGATGTTGATGACAAACCACTAAGATAAGTACCAAGAGGACCACCGTAAAGCATGTTCATTAATTTTTATATATGTAAAATAGAATATTTTTACAATTTCAAAATTAATACAAATAAGAAAGACGGATAAATTTAATGTTTGATAGATTTAAGAAGAAAAAAAAAGAAAAAGATGGTTGATTTTATCAAAAGTAAATTAAACTATTGTAAATATCCATAAGAATTTACTTTTAATTAATCATTGTTAAGTAAATAGTTTACTGAAGGATAAATTAACGATGATTAAGGTTGGATATTACTGATGATGTAATCGGTGAATGTAACTACAGTAGATACAGTATCTATATTCTCTACGCATGCATATATATATATACATATACGTTTTTCTTACGGACAAATAGTTGTAGGTGTATGTACAGAGATTTTTCTTATTGGCCAACAAATGCACCTAGATTAGTAAACGATCAATAGTTTATCTCACAATCCATTCTATCTTTATGATAGGTAAATGATACAATTTATTTAATGTAATCTTTCTTTTTTCCAAGGACAAATCATAGCGAATTCACTTAAAGACACACTAAATCACAAACAATAAACGATATATATATAACTAAAATGGATTGTTATGCAGACAGTTAAGCTATAATAATAACATTTAAGGGATAACAATTATAGTTTATACAATAGGATATAGGATTCAGTAGTCAGAACTAGATAATAAAAAAAATGCATCATATTAGTCTTTAGATGACCCAGTTTTTCAATAAAACTAGTTACATCTTTACATACAATCAAAATGGTTTTTGATAGTAACCAGCTTTTATGTCTATATATATATATATATACAAAATGTGAAATAGTCTGCACACTAACACTGATAGATTCTTATAAATAATCGATTGGACTGGTCTTTTAATTTTATCAGAATGGGGATTTGTAGAGATCGAAGTGGTTTTAATATTTGAATTCATGAGTCGATGTAAGTTAGAACACCATTGAAAATCTGGAAATATTGGATGGCCGTCCCGTCCTAGTATAGGACTCAGCAGCGCGCATCCATGATCCTTCATGGGAGACTCGAACCCAAGACCTTAAGTCTCGCTCGCGAACGCTTAACATCTAGACTACTGAACCAGCATCTAACGGTGTTAATTTTCAAATTTAATCGATCCATGATCTTGAGAAACTCTTCATCCATTATCTGAAGTGGTTAACTGTCTCCACCCGACACAAGTTGGTCACTGCTTCTCACTAGTATTCTAGGAGATACATCTTGACGCCAGTCACTAGGGAGCACATGATTATTATCAGAATGGGGATAATATGATAAAAAAGTATTTAATAGAAGGATCATCTACAAATATTCCAGTTACTTTGTAAGAAGCAATAAGTCTGTTAACTTAGTGCCTTTTTTATAAATAAAGATCATTTGAAATATCTTTGCTATCTAGAAAAGTATCTTATACATTAGTTATAAAGAGTAAAAGGTAGCTTAATGGATCTCTGCTTCAATGTATCTGACTATACACCAATATGTGAGATTGTTCTCATTGATTTTTACAAGATACACTGATCACCTTCAGGTTTAATCATTTCTCTAAGATGTATTCGTCTGCTTTGTAAATCTTTATAATAAGATAATTGAAATATTATATTTAACTTGGAAATTTCAACATCATATAATTAATCAAATAAATTTTACCACTGTGGAAGAATTCAGGGTTATTCAGCGAAGAAAGTTTTCTTTCCGGTATTGCTCTTTACTAACACTGTATTTATGGTTAACTTTTAAAAATTATAATTTTATCAGTCAAGTCATTCTTACAAATTTGTTTGATTCTGGTGGATATAAAATGAATCAAGTTTCTATTTCGGTTCATTAGAATCCAAATTGAAAATTGGTGTACTGGCCATTTCATGTTGTGGATTAATAGGGGCATATATGATACATTTATTTATTATTCATTTATTTGAACACAAATATTGGTACAAAGGGGCACCAAATATATATGCGCCACACAAGTCACTTGATTTGTGTGTGGGCTGTGATACTGCCCGAGTGCTCAAACCGAACATTTCTGGCAGTAGCTGTATACGTATGGCCATGTTAGAGCATTTCGAGAGAGATAGCAGACTCTCCTCACCCTCGACCGTATCAGGGCATGTGGGGGCACATACTTATCAATAACAGCCATTCATCTGCTTTCGTTGACAGAAATCTTAAACTGTAACAATAAAATGCAAAGAACCTCTAGAATACCAAGAAAGATCTTCATAAACATTTACTTTAGAAAAGATGCTTCAGCAGAGATTGTAAAAGTAGACTTTCTATGTCTTTAGGAAAAACATTCTATTTGTCTCAAACCTCTCATTGTTTTATCAAGTCGGTCATGATTATGTGAAGGACAAACTTCCTCTTTGAACCATATCAGTGTACACCAGTCAGTTCACTTACTTTTATGACACAGGCTTTAGTGATTACACAAAGCAAGCTCTTTCGAAACAACTCTCCTACTTAACTTTGAAAATGACTACACAAATCTATCAAGCAGCATAAGGAACATCTTGTATATTCTGGTTACTTTGTTTCACAAGAATCCTTTTTTATTCAAAACCGTCCGTATAGTAAAAAGAATTGATTCTGAAGAAATACAAATTAAAAACTTATGTTCTACGAAGGTTTATGTACATAAGCAACATATTCACTCTAACATTCTATCTTATTTTTTATCTTCCATCCTTATTAATCCATCATTTTCCCCTACTTCTAATTATTTCACAATTATCAAATATATTATTATTGACTTTATTCAGTATTATATTTTTGGTACAATATAGAATTCTCAGCGCAAAGTATTTCAACAAGTTTCTTTTTCTCTTATTTCTTGATCGAGTGTTAGATGTTAGCAGTTCAGGAATCGACATCAGATTAATGTGTATACTTTTTGATGTATATTGCCAGCAACCACAATGTCTTTGATTGTTCTCTTTCCTAACTTGTACAGGGATATGTCGTAAACATTTCATAAACGCACCTGAATATATATGATTAATGGACATAATGATATGTTAAAACAAACAAGGAAACAGATAACTTGTTGAAATATCCAGATAGCAGAATCAGGTAGCTCAGATATTCAAACGGGCCACCGTCTAATAATTCATTATTTTTGTTTATCATATTCATCAAGCGGATAATTACTACTTCATCCTCTCACTCCAATATTTGATATTTACAAACAATTCATAATGTAATAGAATTTCTTTCCAAGTGACTACTGGCTATAATATTATATTTTTTTTTAATTTCGGAAATTGTTGATGCAGCATACCCCCGTTTTATGACAGATTACAGTACGTAGAAGTTAATTATCAATATGATTCTATAGATTAAGTAGATGGTATTGTCGAAAAAGTTTTCTTCATAGAAATACTTTAATACTTAAATATATTATTATTATTAATGGCTTTATTCAATATTATATTTTGGTACAATATAGAATTCTCAGCACAAGGTATTTCAACTAGCTTCTTTCACAAAATAAAACAACAATAACGAAAAAGAAAGGAAAAGGGTTGAAAAAAAAACTGTACAACTTTTCAAACTAGAGACATGTTAGGAATGCAGGTTATTGACTAGGTTAACTCTAACAACCTGTTCGTCACAAAGTATATTTGCTAGGTAAGGTATTATAGAACTTTTATACTTTTGCTTGCGTGCATGGATTTTAATGTAATTACGTCTCGTTCTACCAGAAGATATACAAGGAGAAAGATATGAGTGAAGGGGATGGTTAGTATCCGATATGATAACACCTGCCAGTAGTTTGCATGACTTTGGATGTCTATCCACAACCATATTATTTATGATTTCCAAAGATTCACCACACACCTTGCTAACTGCCTTCAGCACTCTCCGCAATATAGTATGCCTTTTTAAATCTTGTCATTATAAATGTGGATCATATTGTCAATCTACACAAAAACTGATATTTACTCATTTCTAAATGTAGATAAATACATTTATTACATGTAGCATTCATCCCAAGTTAAGTTTATTTAAAGTTATTACTGAAAATCAAAGAGAACTGAACAATTATATCATTCTAGCACTGAATTTATCAAAAGTATGCACCTACCAACACACCAAGGATTGACCTCAGGATCTCTAGGTCTCATGGAGAATGCTTAACCCCAAATGAGATTATTCTATGTAAAATTGCAAGAATAATTTTAATCAATCTGCACAAAATCTCTTTAGATATATCAATTAAGCAAGAAGCATTAAAAAGCCTTATGAATTAGATCAAACTCATAGTAGAAACTGTATTGTGTGATACAACAGTTGAACAAATAAAGTGATATCACCTATCTTTTCACAAATGTTGACTAGTCATGAATAATATACATATTGAGCATTATTTCTCTATTTAGTAAAATCGATAAGTAGAGATGTCCTTTTTTTTTTAAAAAATGTTAGCTATTATCTTCTAACGTAACTGTAAAAAGTTAAGATGGATTTTCCATATATTGTAATATAATTCGATTCTCAACAGTTCAAGTGGATAGTTGTACAAAACCATAGCCCCCGAATGCCGTGGTACGGTCGAGATTAGGGAGAGTCAGCCCTTTCTCTCTCTCAAAATGATTTCACATGGCCACGTGAATACAGCAACTGCCGGAAAAGTCCTACTCACTGACTTCTCGTGGTGACTGCGTTGTTTACGAAATTGAGAGGACGAAAAGTGAATGTCCTGAGCTTTGAGCGGGTTGGTGGATATGAAGGATCCACCTATGGGAGTTGGAAACCCTGATTCCAAACCGATGGTGCACATAGGATCCAGGATCCTAAGGGAAAAAATGGCATATGAACCAATTATCAGTCATCGGTTACCATGTGACTGCATCTTCACTGCCCTGGGGATCATACCTTTAGGTCGAGGGTTCCGGATGTGGCACCCCAAGAAAACTACCTGGTTCGGCTTGAGCTCTCGGGCAGTATCACAACCCACACACAAATCAAGTGACTTGTGTGGCGCATATATATTTGGTGCCCCTTTGTACCAATATTTGTGTTCAAATAAATAAATAATAAATCAACACTACACTTATATGTTGCTGTAAATAAAAAATACACAATATCGCCGACTAAACTGAAATATGATCTCTTAATATATTATAAATTGAATGAAGTTGAAAATACGGGCCATTGGATTTTAACTCATCCTCACTATTGTATCTTGTCTACTAAGATAATGAAAAGTTCAAAGTTTGATCTTTGATCAAATCATGAATGTCCATATTTCAGGAGTCCCATACTAGAAGGAAACATCTATTTAGTGCTTTTCGCTTGTCAATAGCTAACTTCATACTACTCTATAATGTTAACTGTCGTCAAAATGAGCAATCTCTACAAACCTTCTATCTTAATACAACCGATATTTTTATTTAATCTCATGAGAATCATTTTT